AATAAATGAATGTGAATATGGAATAGAGAAAAGTGTAAATTTTTAAACGCGGACGACGCGTGATTGCGATTCGAGTGAGTCTTCGGAGCCGTCGGTCAGAAAGACTAACTGTTCACGGACGCGTCAAATTTGTGGTCGAGGTGCGGACGTCGACTACGCGAACGTTACCGTCGGAACCTGGATGCAGTCGTGTAATGCGCGCAAGCGGCCACCGTGTTGGTGGTGTTATTTCGTTTCGCACGAGGCAGATTCGACCGACGCGAGCCTCCTGATTAATTCGGGACCATTTCGGCCGATGGGCCAGCGTGTGTAAGTATTCGCTGACCCACCGAGACCAGAAATGGTCCTTCATGTTTTGCAGGAGCTGCCACCGTGAGAGACGTGCCGACGGCTCTCGTTCGAGCGACGGTTCGGGGATCGCCGAGAGAGCGGAGCCGACCAGGAAGTGACCAGGTGTCAGTGCGGCTACATCCTCCGGATCGTCAGACAACGGCTGCAGCGGTCTGGAATTGAGGCAGGCCTCAATTTGGGCTAGGAGAGTAGTCATCTCCTCGTAGGTGAGGGTGGCGTCACCGATGACTCGCCGAAGGTGGTGCTTCATCGCTTTCACGGCAGCTTCCCATAAACCGCCGAAGTTAGGTGCAGCTGGCGGGTTGAACCGCCACCGGATTCTTTCCTGGGCGGCGAAGGTTGCGATGCGATGTCCGTCGGCACTGGCGGCGGAGAATAGTTGCCTAAGCTGCTTATCGGCACCCACGAAGTTGGTGCCGCAGTCGCTATATAGCGAGTGGCAGACTCCTCGCCTGGCGACGAACCGACGCAAGGCGGCAAGGAAGGCGTCAGCGGTGTAGTCCGAGGCCGCGTCGAGGTGGACTGCTCGGGAAGCTAAACAAATAAAGACAACAATAAAACCTTTTGTCGCCTTGAGTCCGCGGCCCCCTGCTGTTCGCATCCAAATCGGTCCGGCGTAGTCTACGCCGGTATGCAGAAACGGCCGGCCTGGAGTAACTCGTGGTGCCGGGAGGTCCCCCATCAGTGGCTGAGGGATGGCAGCCCGCCATCTGGTGCACCTTAGACACCGGCTGATGCGGCTCTTCACTAGAGCGCGACCTCGAGGGACCCAATACTCCTGGCGAAGAGAGCACAAGTCAACTGGGTGCCGCCGTGCAGCGTCCGCTTGTGGTAGTCGTCGATGATGAGGCAAGTAAAATTAGATCTGCTTGGTAGTATGGTTGGATGCGTGGCATCATACTGCAGTGCAGCGTGTTTAAGGCGCCCGCCGACGCGTAGGAGTCCCTCACTGTCCAGAAAAGGACTTAGCTTCAGTAGGGAGCTTCGAGTCGGCAGAGGCTTTCCATTCTTCAGGTGTCTCAGTTCTTCTTTGTATGTTTCAGCCTGGATGATTTTTAACCAGGAGATCCGGGAGTCCTCGATCTCGTCGGCGCTGTTCAAGCCGGGCTGGCCATGCGCGAGGTGGTCCTGACGATGGATCCGCAGCCAGCGACGGCACCACGCAGTGATCCGGAGCAGGCGTTGTAGCGACGAGTATCGAAGAAGCATCTCCGGCTCAGTCCTTTGTTCGGCGATGGCGGCGACGTGGGCGCGGACGCGCCTCTCTGGGAGGTCATCCTCTGGTGGCTCCTCGCAGTTGATCGTCCACGGTTGGCTCTCGGAGGACAGCCACGACGGACCTTGCCACCATAGTGAATGGTCCACAAGCTCGCTGGGGTAGAGTCCTCGTGACGCGCAGTCCGCGGGATTCTCTCGGCCGGGGACGTGGTGCCAGTGGGCGTCCGGAGTCAGCGTCTGGATCTCACTCACCCGATTAGCGACGTAAGTGACCCAGGACGAAGGGTGGCCCCGGATCCAGCCGAGAGTCACGGTGGAATCCGACCACAGATGGAGAGGCGCCTTTTCTGCGCCAATAAGAGGCACGACGTGGGCGACCAATCGAGCTTGGTCTTCGCAGCTAATAAAGTCACTCTCCTAACTCCGTTTGTGTTTGTTCGCAGGTAGATGACTGCGGCGTAGGCACGTTCGGAGGCATCGGCAAATCCGTGAACCTCTTGATGGGAGTCAGCTAGGGCTCCTAACCAACAAGGCACGACTAGTTTCTCCAATGCCGCTAGCTCCTCCTGGAATCGCAGCCATTTTCTGGCTTCCTCGCTTGGCAGAGACGCGTCCCAGTCGAGACCTAGTAGCCAGGTAGCCTGGATGTTGATTTTGGCCAGCACAGTCGTTGGAGACAGCCAGCCGAGTGGATCGAATAATTTGGCCGTCAAAGAAAGGACCGACCTTTTGGTGACCGCTGAGAGAGTGATCCGGTGGGTGGCGAAGGCGAAGCGGTCGTCGCACGGTTGCCATCGAAGGCCGAGAGTGGAATGACTCTCGCCGGGCAGCCACCATCTGGCCTCTTGTTGCAGGCGCGCGTCCGGTTCCACGAGGCTCAGCAGGTAGGAGGCGTTTGTAGACCACTTTTTTAGTGTGAACCCGCCCGCCGTGCATATATTTGTCAGCTGCCTCACCATAGATTCTGCTTCCTCTTGATTCTCGGCACCGGACAGGATGTCATCCATGTAGACATCGCTCCGCAGGATGTCGGCGCCTTTCGGAAAGCGATGCTCTTCGTCCTCGGCGAGTTGGCGTAAGGTACGGATGGCCAGATACGGGGCGCATGAGAGCCCGTAAGTGACCGTGCATAGCCAGAACTCCTGGACGTCGTTCTTAGAGTCTCTCCACAGGATTCGCTGCAGGCTTCGATCGTCCGGATGCACTAGGATCTGCCGATACATCTTTTCGATATCGGCAGCGAAGACGTATCTGTGGCGTCGCCAACGCAGCAGGATGTCAGCCAGCGCAGGAAGCAGATTCGGTCCAGTCAGAAGAAATTGGTTGAGAGAGTCCCCGTTCGGCAAGGAGCTCGAGCCGTTGAACACGACCCTCAGCTTAGTGGAAGTGCTGTCCGGACGCAGGACCCCGTGATGCGGCAGGTAACAGGTACCTCGTTGTGGCTCAGCTGGCGCTGGTGCAAGCATCATATGTCGCAGTTCCTTGTACTTTTGCATGAACTCTACGTACATGTCCTTAAAGTCGGCATCTTTCTCTAACCTTTTCTCCGTCTGTTGCAGAGCACGACTGGCGGCGCGACGAGTCCCAGACAGATCCGGGAGAGGCTCGATCGTTGGCAGCCGCACTATGTACCTGCCGTCAGGAGAGCGCGAGTGATGACGGCGGTAGTGCTCCTCGCACTCTAGTTCCGCCTTGGTGAGGGTCGGAGATGGCCGGTGGACTTCCTCCTGCTCCCAGAACCGCCGCACCAAGCAGGTGATGTCCTCCTCGATTTGGCAGTGATGAGCGGAGATGTGTTGGCTGGGCGCCGTCGAGCTAACTGTACCTGAGAGAATCCAGCCCAACGAGTTTTGTTGAGCTACTGGATCCTTAGAACCTCCTTTTCGTAGACCCTGACGGATGATGGTCCCATATACGTCGGCTCCCAGTAGGATGTCGACGGGGTCCGAGGAGCAGAATTCCGGATCGGCGAGCTCCAGGTCCTCCAGATGGGTCCAGGTTCGTCTACTGCTGCGGCATCCTCCGGAAAACAGCGTCAACTTCGGCAGCACCAAAGCGTTGACGAAGGTGGGCGATTCCCCTCTGCGCGACTGCAGGGTGAGTCTCACCTTCCCCTTTGTCACTCCGGTCCTTTTCTCTCCGACTCCATAGACACTAACGGCGGCTGCTCTTCTAGGGAGTCGTAAGCGCTGCGCTAATCGCTCCGAAATGATGGAGGATTCGGAGCCCTGGTCGATCAGAGCGCGAGCGGACTGCCAGCTTCCGTGGCAGTCGAGGACGCGGACCCTAGCCGTAGCGAGCAGCACCGTTGCGGAGGAAGAGTCTGCGCCTTGAGCCACGTGAGACGTCGTGGCGGCCTCGGCTTCCCGGAATGCATCGTGAAGCGAGGAGTGATGTCGACTGCCACACGCTGTACACGTCTTCTTCGAAGAGCACTCGGAAGATTGATGCCGGCCAAGGCAGTTTGAGCAGAGCTTATGCTCACGGACGAGCTGCTTACGCGCCATCGCCGTCTTATCCTTATAGTCGCCGCAGAACATAACAAAGTGGTCCCCCTGGCAGATGGAGCACCGGCTTCTGGACTTCTCTTTTGGATCTTGGCCTTTGACGTGGTGGCTCCTCGTTGATTTCGTAGTGCTGGAGCTGCTGCTGTCGTTCCTGGCCGGAAACAGCGCCTCCAACGTATGGAGCCGACGTTCTATGAAGGCCTCAAGCGAGGCGTAGCTTGGCGGACTCGTGGTGTGACTTATATCACTCTCCCATTCTCGCCTAGAGCGGCTGTCGAGGAGCTCTACGACGAGGTGGACGAAGAGATCCTCCGTGCGGTCTATCGGTCGGTCTATGCTCTTCAGGGAGCTGACAGTTGTTTTTACTCCATGGAAAAGCCTCCTCAATTCAGCGGCGGATTCGCTTTTCATCTTGGTCAACGCTAAGAAATTATTCAGATAATTACGAGTCAGCAATCTTTTGTTCTCGTAATAATCGCTTAGAGTTTTCCAGGCGATTTCATAGTTGTCTTCTGTGGTGCTGAGGTTACGAATCAGCAGATCGGCGTCACCCTTCACACAAAGTTTTAAGTAGTGTAACTTCTCCACAGGTTTTGCTGCCTGATTCCGGCCGATGAGGGATTGGAACAGATCCCGGAATGAAGGCCAATCCTCGTATTTCCCGGCGAAGGTAGGCGGTTGGATTTTTGGCAGCGCTGTCCGAGGAGCGGGACTAGTTGTCGCGGCCGCGGTAGAGCTGGCTGCCTGTAGCTGCAGCTGGAGAGCGCTCTTCAGATCGAGCATGAGGTCCTTGTTCAGCAGGTAAGCTTCCTCGCCTAAGGACGGGATGTCCTGTTTAGCGTAGACCTCATGCTTTATTTCGTCAACCCGATCGGCTAACGTATCATTAAGAGCGTCGAATTTATCCCATAGCTTCTCGAGATTTTGAAGCCGGGCCTCCACCGCGCCGAGGGTCATATTGGCCTCGCCGAGCTTCCGCAGGTTCTCGAACGCGCGCGAGATCTTGCCGTACAGCACCGTGGCGGTGGCAATGATCGCCTTCGTGTCTGTCATTTCTAACAATGTTTCTCTGTTCCAGAAGCACTGGTCACCGACACTCAATCACAATCGCTTCCGTGGCACCGGATTCACAGGAGGTTCCGGAGGAATCCGGCTCGAAGGACCAAAAAATGTGCGCGACGGAAAGATGGATAGGACGTGGTCGGAAGCGAGACCGAGAAATAGACACAACACTCGACACACGCGTAACGTTCACAAAAAAAATATATTTATATAAACTATTAACAAAAATTACAATTAATATACCGCACCGAATTTACCGAGAGAATTAGCCGAGTCGTAAATTACTAAGTGTCCGCAAGCAACGGTAATGAATTAGACAAAGACAAGCAATCTTTATCGTATGAACACACTTTATTCGCGATGAGCAATCGGAAAAAGCGCCGCGGTCGCGAGAGAGGAGGCTTATATACGCCTTGTAATTCTAGAATATTCGAGTACATTTGCTGTCGTTCTATTGTGATATTAAGGGTGAAGGAACGTTTACTGTAATTATTTACTTGTTTTTCTCTCCTCTCGCGCGACAGCGGTGTTTACAATTTAGACTGTTTTAAGCGCTTATTTTCGAAGGCGCGGAGTATCCGTATACTCTCGCGGCCGAGCGCTAATTTAAATATAATTTAAAATATACGCATGTTAGACCACGATATTAATTAATAAATTATATGCATGCTGCATGAGGCATGATCGAGATGCATGAATATTTTAACGCTTTCTTGTCCGCGGGTTATTACCGTTCGAATCTCGAACACTGCTCGTTCAAGTAGTTTGTTACAATCCTGGCGTTGTGTGGTCAAGCACCGTCTTGTTGAAAGAACATTTTATTTCTTTCAAATAGTGGCACTTCTTCTAAAAAATCGGGCAGATTTTCTTTCAAAAGTTCCGCGATACCATAGGGTACGCCTATTTAGCAGGCTAGAGTCTCGTTCGTTATCGGAATTAACCAGACAAATCGCTCCACCAACTAAGAACGGCCATGCACCACCACCCACCGAATCAAGAAAGAGCTATCAATCTGTCAATCCTTCCGGTGTCTGGGCCTGGTGAGGTTTCCCGTGTTGAGTCAAATTAAGCCGCAGGCTCCACTCCTGGTGGTGCCCTTCCGTCAATTCCTTTAAGTTTCAGCTTTGCAACCATATTTCCCCCGGAACCCAAAAGCTTTGGTTTCCCGGAAGCTGCCCGCCGAGTCATCGGAGGAACTTCGGCGGATCGCTAGCTGGCATCGTTTATGGTTAGAACTAGGGCGGTATCTGATCGCCTTCGAACCTCTAACTTTCGTTCTTGATTAATGAAAACATTTTTGGCAAATGCTTTCGCTTCTGTCCGTCTTGCGACGATCCAAGAATTTCACCTCTAACGTCGCAATACGAATGCCCCCATCTGTCCCTATTAATCATTACCTCGGGGTTCCGAAAACCAACAAAATAGAACCGAGGTCCTATTCCATTATTCCATGCACGCAGTATTCAGGCGAAGGTAGCCTGCTTTAAGCACTCTAATTTGTTCAAAGTAAACGTACCGGCCCGACTCGACACTCAGTAAAGAGCACCGCGACGGGATATTAGTTGGGCCGCCCCTCGCGAGGCTAAGCCCACCGGTAGGACGTCCCACATCACGCCAGTTAAACACCGCGAGCGGTGAACCGACGGTGTGCGACACAGATTCAACTACGAGCTTTTTAACCGCAACAACTTTAATATACGCTATTGGAGCTGGAATTACCGCGGCTGCTGGCACCAGACTTGCCCTCCAATGGATCCTCGTTAAAGGATTTAAAGTGTACTCATTCCGATTACGGGGCCTCGGATGAGTCCCGTATCGTTATTTTTCGTCACTACCTCCCCGTGCCGGGAGTGGGTAATTTGCGCGCCTGCTGCCTTCCTTGGATGTGGTAGCCGTTTCTCAGGCTCCCTCTCCGGAATCGAACCCTGATTCCCCGTTACCCGTTACAACCATGGTAGGCGCAGAACCTACCATCGACAGTTGATAAGGCAGACATTTGAAAGATGCGTCGCCGGTGCTAGGACCGTGCGATCAGCACAAAGTTATTCAGAGTCACCAAAATAAACGGTGGACGAACGGCGAGCCGCCCGCCACCGATTGGTTTTGATCTAATAAAAGCGTCCCTTCCATCACTGGTCGGGACTCTGTTTTGCATGTATTAGCTCTAGAATTACCACAGTTATCCAAGTAAATGTGGGTACAATCTAATGAACCATAACTGATTTAATGAGCCATTCGCGGTTTCACCTTAATTCGGCATGCACTGAGACATGCATGGCTTAATCTTTGAGACAAGCATATGACTACTGGCAGGATCAACCAGGGAGCTTCGTGTTCGGTTACTCGCAAGGGAGTAACTCGCGAGCGAGCCCGAAGACTCGTCGCTAGCTCTTTTTCGCGCGCGCGCGCGTTCGATGCCGAAACACCGACGCGCGCGCGACACGCTCGTATGTGCCATTTTATTTGCCGCCGGTCTTGCTCAGCCGGTCGGCGACACTCTGCTGTGTTTAACGCTATTATGTAAAGCGTACGAGAGAACGACGGAGGCGAGAGTAAACCCCCGACGCCGCCGCCTCTCTTCTTCCTCCTCCTCTCCGTTCAAAAATCCACAAGATCAAAATACTCGTGTTCTTATTCTCCCAAATGTTATGATGCGCGGTCTCGAGAGACCGCGCGATTCACCCTGACGCTAGATCGACGATGGCGATGCTTAGACGTCGAGGACTGTTCTGTCTGGTTCGTACGCGTTTAACCGCACACGACCAGCAATAAGATTTTGCTACGGCGTACAAAGCGAGCGGGAAGAAGCAACTCTTCCCGCAAACTCGTATCCGTGGAGTAGATGCTCGGTAAGCGCGACGATTCCGCTGCTGCGTACGAAACGAGAGGGAACCGCGCGGCCAACACACTAGAGGCGTGCGCGCCACATAAGAGCCATTCGG